ACAGTCACTGGCAACTAGCGATCGTCACAGTGAACAGTCAAAGGATGCTGTCAGTCTTACTGTAGGGACCAATACAGCAGCCAAGGTCTAGCACCCGGTTTCTAGCCACTAGCTGACTGACCCATCCTCACAACCCTACATTCCCCACAGAGTTTCTAAGCCTTCCTCCTGTGGTCCATGAAAATATTTACACAACTCTTTGTCAACACTAAATGCTTAATGACTAGAAGTCAATGGTGCTGTTTAAAGCGTTCTCTTCTGTGTTTGACCCACTGAAAATATATACAGAATTTTGTTTGTTTGTTCTGAGACAGGATATCCCACAGTCTAGGCTGTCCCTGAACTCACTATGTAGCACAGTATCAACTTCTGATTCTACTGACACCATCTCCCAAGTGCTGGATTTGGAGGCATGTGCCACCACCGTGCCTGGTTCTGTGTAGAAGTTTGTCTAAGGGGCAGGAGAGATGGCTCAGGAGCTAAAGGCACCTACTGCTCCTGGACCTACATCAGCTCTCAGCACCTACATCAGGTGCCTCACAACTTTCTTCTAACTCCAGCTCCACGGGATCCAAGAAGACTGCGCATGTACTTACAAGGGCACATGCCCACACACCTGCTTATACACATAATTAAAATAAAATAGAATTTAAAAATAAAAACAGAAGTATTAGAAATCGGTGGTCGCCTAAGTATACTGGGAGGCAAAAGTGGACACTCATAGATTTAATCATCTTCGTTTTGACAATTACCATTTCTTTAATTTATCATACCCACCGTCACCTAATCCTCACAGCAACCCTATTTTACAGTGAGGAAACAAGTTTGCGGAGGTTAATACCGCCAGCCACCAACACATCAGCGAGAGAGACAGGTCTCAAGTCCAAGGCTGACTTTACTGTCAGTTCTTTAAATCATGTTACACATCACAGGCCACTGGAGTGTAGACCTACCACATTCAAAGTTAAGATAGACCGAAGTACTGTCAGCAGATTACACTGTTTTGCGGAGGGGTCTACAGGTTGGACCGGTGACGACTCAAACTCATTGAATGTAACACATACATTCTAATTCTACTCTCGCATCACCTCCCCCAAATAAGATCATCCCCATTCACGAGAAAACTAAAGCTCAAAGGCTTTCTTTTGGGGACATAGGTGTCAGCTTGGGTAAAGGCCGCCCAGGATGATGTCCACCCCGCTGTGACCAGGACTCTGTATGGCTGGACGCGAGGGTGGCGCCTGCGCCCTGGGCGGTAGTCTCCCCCCCCCCCGGTCCCACGTCGGCTCGTCACCGCGAGGACGCACTGCAAATAATGGCCTCTCCTCGGAGTCCCCAGTTCGTCCCCTCAGTCTCGGAACCCTAACTTACCCAGTCGGGCCCACAGCACGCCTAAACCATCCGCCACGAACGAAGCGATCCGGTAATGTTTACTTCCGGGTTCCCTGCCTTCTTCCGGCAGACCAGTGATAACTTCCGGAAGAACGGCACATGCGCACTCCCAAGTGCTTGGCCAGGGCTATTTTTTGTTGTTTATTTTTTTTAAGAAGCAGGAGGTTCATGCAAGTAGTTCGTTGTGCACCCTGCAGGAAGACGGTGGCAGTGCAGCTTTGTGCCCCGTGCAGGGAACACTGTTCTCTTTCTAGAACAGTAGAATTTTAGCAAAAAATATTTACTGAAAAAATCAAAAAGGTAGGTGTAATGGCTCACGCCTTTAATCCCTGAGACACAGGTGGATCTTTGAATTCCAGGCCGGTGACATAATAAGATCCTGTCCCAAACAAACTTAAATAGTCTCCCATAAAACAGAAACTATTCAATAAACTACTGGAAAACAGGAGATTTTAGCGGACCTTTTTTCCTTCCTTCCTTCCTTCCTTCCTTCCTTCCTTCCTTCCTTCCTTCCCTCCCTCCCTCCCTCCCTCC